CAGTGAAATTGAAACCGTAGTACGTCTTCGTTCGACTGAAGTGATAGACCAAGTATATATTAGCTACCGGGAAATAATCAAATAGCGGACATAGAACTTTGAGTAAGTAACTGGAAAACCGCATAAACTTAGGCTAGGAACTTTCTCAAACTACATCGAGTCACTATAGCAGTAAATACAAGGATCCGATACAATACAACCTTATTACTTCGTAATGTAAAAGCACAAAATAATACTCAGACGACAGTCTTTAGCCAACCTCATTAAAAATCCAAGTGTTTTAATACCTATTATAACATACGTATTCGATAAGCGGTCTAAGGTCAAGGTTATAGCTTAACTATTATAGCCAACTTCTGTGACATACTATATCCATGTAAAATTATAACCTCGTCACATAAAAAAGGAGCATAGTATAGAAATCAAAATCTTCGTTAAAATATTATAATATACTTAATATTATACCTACGTAATATTATATCAATAACAATAATGGTTTTTGAAAAAATTAACGGGTCCGAAAACATAATATCGGCCGATTAGTACGAATATGATATATAAATATATATACAGGTATATATCAATATTATTTTATTATTGGCTAGTACTTACTTACTTTTTTATTTTTTCATTGTTCTAAAATATAATATACCGTGTGTGTGTCAACGAGCGAGCTATGTTTTATTGTTTTTTTTTTATGCTCAATTTTTAAATTGTTTTTATACGTTTTGATTTAATTTCTTTTTGTTATCAAAATTATTCTATTTAACATCTCAATCATATTATTTTAATTATTATGAAATTTAAAACATTATATGGTTTTCATTTTGTTTCCTCTCATTGTTTAAATATTAATAAAATTAAATTTTTTTCACACAAAAATTGATTTTTTTTTTTCATATTTTTGATTAATCAATCGCTTCAAAATAAATATTTATAAATTCTTTTAAATATATTTATTCACCTTAAAACTTTTTTATTTAGAGTAATGATCATCGTTGCATCAACCTGGAGTATTAACACCATATACGTATAATATATGTATTAAGAAATAGTTAAAAAATTATATAGTACTAACCTGACAAATTAATCGAAAAGTGAAATTAATCATAAAATAACGCATAACAGTGACAGATATGGCATCTGTAGATAAATGAACTATAATGATTGTAAATGTATAATATATGCATTTTATTGAACGTGGACGTCAATATAGTCTAAGAAAATAATACATTTTTATTACACATAATATATTACGGTAAAAATAACAAATATATAAGATTATGATATTATTTTTCAAAATCGTTTATAAATATAATTGTACTCAATTTCTTTTCACGTAAATAAAAAAAATTATGTTATATTTTTCCATAAGAAAATTATAAATTTTTATGGTTGGTTTTATATTCTCAGTGATCGTCAACCTCTAGATACAGAAAAAACTAGAGTTATTATTTTCGTTGATATTAAAATTGCATATGTCGATGGCTAAAAAATTATACTCTAAAAACACTTAATTGTAAACGAGAGGTCTGTCTTAAATTTTTAAATTTTTCAAAACAATTTTAAATCCTACGTTAGAATAGTTTCGGAAAACTATTTGTTTGATTATACAATATTAGTACTCCTGCAGATAAATTAATATCTACTTTTAGACATCAGTGCTTTAATAAGTTCAATATACTTTAAAATATTTTAAATAAATCTACTTTTTTTTAAATTAGAAAATGTTTTTCTTGTTAGTTAACAAACTACAAGGTTTTGAGAGGTATATTACTCGTAAAATTGCCTAAGTCTTATTAATCATGTTTGTAATTATTAATAAAAAAAAAAAAAAACCAGTTATAATATGCCTACTTAAAGGTTAAAGGTCACGTTTAGAAAATTCTTTATAACGTGATTTATCTATTATTTGTTTTTATCCAAAGCGATATTATTTATTGCTGAATTGTTGCTTTTCTGGCGCATAAATATTACATGGATAAAAAGATATTTAATTTCAATAGATACTAAATTATTGTCAAGTCATCTAAGCATTACTATCATTATGGCAAATAAAATAATTTCAGATTTGAAATCTGTTACTTATAATGTCAACTCATTGGAAAGTAGCATTTATTACACCGAGGCGTATGGTTGTATAATTATTATTAATTATTATTATTAGTATAGATACACTGTATGCAATTATTATTACTATATTAATATTATATTATTACAGTAGGAGCCATAAACCGTGTCGTTTTTATAACGATATAAAAATGGTGGTAACAAACAAACAAAGCTATCTACCGGTATGTACCGAGACCAACGTATTTTACCGACGTTATATACAATTTAAACGTTAGAGCGTGCACCATCATAATTTATTCACAATTCTACCATTGGTTTTATTGCAATATTATTAAACCCGCTTTAAATATTATAATACTTCTGTTAAACCAATGGCTGTATGAAAATAAATTCGAAGGTAAAAATCATTTAGTTAAATCTATATATAAAAAAAAAAATAAAAACATGAATATAGTGTTATAAAATAAAAATGTTGAAGATTAAATTAAAATATTGAAAAAATGATTTAAAAGGATTTTGTGGTATAAAATAAATATAATTGAAAAGATATTGTAAAAATCAGATAATTTGAAATATTTATCATGATAATATTATATTTTATTAATATGTAATATTGAAAAATATAATTTTTTATTTCTTTAATTATTATTATAATTTCAATTAGTCAAATTCGAAGGTTTTTACATCTCGAAAAGTGACTAGAATTTTTAATATTTCATAAAGTAAAAGAAAATGGTTTACATTTCTTACGATGTTCAAAATTGTTTGTTATCAATTTATATTTTAATCTATATACTTCCACACATCGTAAACTTATAAGGAACAAAATGTTTAATATTTATTTCTAGTAGCTATTATAGTTATAACACGTACAACGACAATGCTATAAGATTGAGAAAAAATAAGACTTAGGTTTCAGTTCGTCGATAAAATATTATGTATATTTAGTAGTGTACTCATAAAAACGTACACAAATAATAAAACCATTACAAATTTCTTATGGATAAATATATTTAATTTTGAGTTTCATGTTTGAGATTGATTTAATTGTTGTTAGTAATAAATACAAACTTAGTAGACACTAGACGCATAAACGAATGATGAAAAGTTGTTTTTGAAAATTAAATCATAAAGATATATTGAATTAATGATGAATAATTTTACCTAGTTTAATTAAATTTTTAATTCAAAAATGACTCATCTTTTCTCCAAAATATGGTAATATTTATAATGTAGTTATTTGCATTTGCTTAATGACAAAAAATTGCATTATTTTCGACGACGGTTTCACGTTTAACATTTTGGGAATACTTTTTAAAAATTAACTTAATAAAGCTATATTTAATATTATTAAATGAGCACCACAATGAAGCTTTCTCTAAAAATTATTTTTTCTGTGTACATTGAAATACATATTATTATATTATGATACGATATTTATTATGGTTATTAAATACAATTTAAAATTTAAATGTCAATATAGATTCCGATATTTGTAAATTAAATAAATACAAATATAATGAAATAAAATTATCACATTGCATACATACTATTATTAGTATTGGTAATGTAATTGTTATTAGAGAGATCGAAAGTTAGAGGTGTAAAATGTATACATATATATTATGTAAAAATGTATTTACAATTTCAAAAACAAAAAAAAATATAGGTACCTACATCTAAATAATTAAGATAATGTTAATAATTTTTTAAATGTTAAAATATGCAAAAAATCAAATGTAAAATATGGAAAAATTAATTTATTGTATTCAAAATATAATGGAAAACTGGTGAACGATAAGATAGTATTTCGATGTATTAATGTAATGCGGATTGAATTAATATCACATCACTGTTGTTAACTAAATAGCCGACTTTGACGATGTAAAGTAATAGATAGGTATTTATGTTAAATAATAAAAAAAATTTCATGGAATATTATTTAAAATACATAGGCTTAGAAAAAAAAATCAATTATTCATTATATTATACTCACTTCGGATAAGATACTTCTTAACAAATTGGTGTCGATTATGCGGATCTATTGGGGTGGAAAATGTGGTTTAAAAGATTCGTTTCTCTGATAGTTATTACTTATTATTTTATACAACCAGACCATTTATCGATTATTGGGAAGCACACGTCTCAATACACAATTCAACGCGCTGTGACCAGATAATTTGCAGCAGGTAATGGAATTGAATCCATTAAATGAAACACAGCTTATTCACAGAAACTTAATTGAACTACAATGGTAGGTATATTGATAAATCTCAAAAGTTTGTTCTTAAAACAAACTCAGTGAGCATTGTTTTGTTTGTTATATTTGATTTTAAAATTAAATACTGAAGTAATGTCTAAAAACTTAATATGCGTAAAAAAAAAAAAAAATTCAAATATTGAATTGCACAAATTCATATTTGCCATGAATTAAGATTTTATTACAGATTATTGTTTAAAGATCATGTTGAAATAATTTGGTTTAACATGGAAGACACCTAGATATTAGGCGTATTGCACTTTTAATATATGAAACTGTTTATTATGTAAGAAGGTTTGTATATTTTACTTTATAATATAGGTAAGTAATCATATAAATTATGCAGTTAAAATAAATAATACTTTTTTTTTAATCGATTTAACGTTGAATCATTAATTCACTTATATCTATTAAATTATTCATAATAATTATCATGGCTGCGGTGCATACGTACATAAATTACGTATTTTAGATGTAATGATACAATTACCTAGTTGTGATATGCGTGAGTGCAGTATAAACATATTATTGATATTATGTCGTCTAATGATATAATATTATCTATACTGATTGAAAACGGTCTAAAATATCTATAAATAATATGAAAAACAAGCATCTTGACTGTTGTTATTCGTTTAAATATTTTCGATCATTCAATAATTTATGGTTATATGATCTTTGCGTTTTTTTTCGATTTGGAGACGACGATCGAAGTCGACGGTGTTTGGCGCCAGTGGTAATAAGCCTTCCACGTCAAAAAATATATAAGTTCGATGAAACTCAACAATGATCCACCCAGAAACAGACCAGCGCAACCGCCAAACGACACTGCAAATAATAAAAAAACAGAAATTTTAACATAATATATTTCGTATTTAATTTATAGGTTATGCATATGCACCCAACAAGTCAAGCCATCCGAGGACCAAGTCCGATCTGTAAAGTATACACGTGCTCTGTATGAAGTGTACGTCAATCAGTATGGATGACGTGGAATTCCTATGATAATTTAATACAGTAATCATATTAATAATTATTTATCATCAATTATTATTTATATCGTTTATTATAACGTAATTGGCTATACGATATATAGATACAAAGTTTGGGGGATTTTTGCCACAATTCTAAAATATTTCGAATACATTCAAAGTATATTAGAAAATAAAAGTATTTATACCAAGTGGTCCATTTAACGTATAACGTTGATTATTTCAAACAATGATTTCTAAATTTATACATAACCTATACGAGCTAATTAAAAAAAAAAATCAATCATATTATAAACAAGATAACTTCTGAGCCTCCTCATGCGTTTTAAACTCGGTGAGGCCTAGTAATCTTTCTGATGTTAAAATAAAATAAAAAAATAAATTAAATATATTTATACGTAATTTTAAGTTGTTAAACAACATTTCTTTTTCTTTTTTTTTATTAATCATTTGTTTATTAAAATTTTAGACTAACTTTTAATGAGTTATAACTTATAAGTATTAAAATGAATACAAATGGATTACAAGGGTTCCTCGTAAAATGCTTCTATTTGTTAGAAATAAATAAATCTATTGTCGAAGTTGTATAAATCTAATGCATATACTTTATATGTTTTATTTTACCTCCATTGTATGTTATTATGATATTCAGCTCGTATATTAAAAGTACCAGCGATATTATGGAAAAGTGTTAGAGAGGAGCGAAAGTAACTATGTACTTAATAAAATGTTAAAATATTTTAAAAATTATAGTAATAAATTAAATCAAAATCTTACTAATTCTTTTAGATATAGTGGTTTAATATAATTCACATTCTCAACATATTATTATTTGTCGTTTTAACGAACAGATAAGAAAATTTTAAAAGGAAACTTAACCCTGATTTTTTTTGGTAAATTTAATAAATTGAATTATTCCAATTATTAAAATTTTAACTTATTTTTAAAACATAGTTTTTATGTATGAAATACAAATGTTCAAGAAATAATATATAATAACGGGGCTATAGTCACATTTTAAGAGATTGTTCTCTTTCTTAATGTGAAAACTAGTTTTATGATAATAATATTCTAAAAAAGTGAAGAGGTGTGAACTAGTATTTTCTATATAAATTAAGCGACAAAAGTTCCTCTTAACCAATTAGCGCTTATTTTGTTTCTATAACAGAGCAGTTACTTACAGCACTGTTGATATGGATGGTTCGGCGATTGTTAGTTCAGACAAATACATTTGATGAACACAATCCGGCATACAATCACACTTAAGACCGGGCCGATTACTTATCGTAAGTCCAGTCTGTTCGGACGGTATAATGTTTTTAAAGAACTCTGAAAATAAAGGAAAAATAAAACTTTTATTTATTCTATTATTATGTATAATGGTCTTACGATTTTTCTCAGACAGACATAACAAATCTTCGGCGTTACATGGCCGCAATGAATCATTTTCTATAGCAAAAAAAAATATTATCATATTTGTTCCTATTTAAAATTTGTACGACGATTATAGTTTTGTCTCTTATTGTTTTCACTTAACTTATTTTAAACTATTATTGCGATGAAGACTTACGATTCATGAGGCCAAACATGAACTCCAAATAACAGCCGCACTGCTGAATAACTTGATCCATGTAACACGCTGTTTTGCAATTCCTCCGCAAGTAGTAATTCGTACCCATTCCGGTGGAACTCTCTTCGGCGAAAAGACACCGTCGCAATTTTGGATTCAGTCTCTTCGTTCTTTGAGTGTTGTATATTCTATCTCCCCACACGTGAACGATGCCAATGCTACCCGCCGTCACGACCATATCCGATCCAAGCGGAGCTCCTCTAGGTTCACCAATCATTATCTGAAATAATATAATAAATGTGTAACACTTGGTTCACAGAGTAGTTCATCGAATATGCTAATTTGTTTTTCTGCAGTTATTTAAAATGTTGTGAAAACATGTTGAAAAAAGTTTGGAAGATGTGGGGATTGTTGTGATATAAAAATGTTAGTAATCAGTATTAAACTAAAATTTATAGTTCGTAAAAATGATCCATAGTCCAAGGATATATCCATTTTATATTTTTTTTTTTAGAACTCATATACAAACCCAAAATTAAAATTTTAATAAATTCATTATTAAAGGAAAATGATGATAAACATACTGGATGTATCACTGTTTTTAGTGATCGACCATGATTTTTGAGACTTTGTGACACCATCTAACTTGATATCACAGAGGTACCATTTTAGTTTTGAAATAAGTCTATCAAATCTATTAGTAAATTGGATGATTTCACCACCAGACATCAGCTATACATTATGAAAATGAAACATGGGGCCAAAATGTTGATATTTTTAAAAGATACAAATAAATTTACTTAAAGTTAACCTAGTCATTGGGAAGCCATATTTTTGTATTTATTTAGATTATGATCGCAAAAAATATACAATTTTAATATTGCCTATCAATATTATACAAAATTCAATACTTTATGAAATGATTCCTATTTATTATACATATGAATAACTTAAATTTTTACTAAACCAGCATAAAATTAATTCCAACAAATACATATTAAATGCTACGAGTAAAATAAAATATTTGTATATATTTCACCAAATAATTCTCCAAATGTCATGCTTGTTATTTAATGCAGATACCAAACATACAATTATGTATTAATAATGTATTAGCTATTGCGTTTCTTTGATACAACAGTATCATGGATATTTTAATTACTAATGTATATATACTGATATTTTACATAATTATTTGAAATCAATACTTCAAAATCGTTAGCTTTTATGTCTTATAATTTAAACTATGTAGGAATTATTCACAAAAGGTACTTTCTTTTCATATCATTAAAATAATTGAAAAATGTTAAAAATACTTGTTACATTATTATTTATTTTAACAATTGGTGAGGCTTTCTAATGGTCTGAATGATTTAAAATATATTATAATATCTAATTGTAAAAAAACTATATATTTTACAATTTACCCGTGTCGATGGTTTGACGTTAGCTCCGGGGGCTATCTGTTCTGGGGTCATTGTTGATACATACATTCTGTAACAATGATTTAAATAAGTCAGGGCTATACAGCATGGATAGAAATCAGTTTTATACCTGACACCTGACCACTGACCATTGTCGCCCGTTCTTCTTGGTCGAAGTTCTCCAGACTCTGTTCGCCAAAACGACCCAATTGCACCTGAATTTGCACCGAGTCTCCTGCAAAACATGTCAATATCAGATTTTATAATGGCAAGAAATATTAATACGTACACAGTAGTTATTAAGGCATGGATTTTTTTGTGATAAAAAAAGTCAAAATATGTTAATATTTGTGTTTTAATTTTTACTGAAATATGTATTAAAAAATATGAAATATTTAACAAAAAAAATTTGCATACATTTTTATTTTTAATGTATAATATAAATGATTTAAATTTTAAGCAAGTTTGTAATTTAATTTATTTTTTATTATTACTCCGGATTCTCCTTGAACTTTATTTATTTGTTTGCTACATTTTTCGCTATCGAAAATAAATTCAATAATTGTTAGATTTGAAGTTTTTAATTTTTTATTATTAAGATTTAAAAAAAAAAAAAATTATATGTGTTGAAATATATGCTAAATGATTTATCAGGTTGTTATTATTTTTCATGATATCAATAGCTTTAAGGGCTAAGTAAATTGGGTCCTCGATAAATAATTTTTGTTCATTTTAAAAAGGTAAGTTGAATCTCAGATATAAAAAGGTAGTAAATAAATTGGGTCCTACTATAAATGGACGCACTGAAACTCCGTATGAGTTACTCGTAAAGTATTTTGTGAATCCATAGCTCAAGGATGTCATTTCCATTTAAGTTAAAATTGGTGGAAAAATATTCAAGCTCTTAGTTTAGTAAACTCATACAAGATTTTAAATATAGAAAAAAACCAATGTTTTAAAAAATGTTTTTTGTTTACCATTCCTAAGATCAGAAGAAGTTGGGAAATGTTTTGTAGAAGATTTATTTGTTATAAAACCAAATGATAAACAAATACAGATATTTTTTGATTATATACTAGACACTTATATCACATCTGATGCTACATTTCCCACAACTATTTGGTTTGAATTTGCAGTTACTACATAATATAGTTGTGAATTATATCATGCTGCATTAAACCAACGCTTTTACAGCCTACATCCTGATACTATTAATTTTTTTTGTCGAATTATTAGGGGACAAGTTAGAGACACATATAAAATCACGCTCGATAAAGAATAAGACTTAAAAGAACAAATGAAGAAATAATAAATATACAATAATATGATAACCTAATTGGAATTTTTTTAAATCTTGATTATTTAAGTTTATGTCGAGAACATGATATTATAAAAACCACATATATTAATTTATATCATTTATACAATATTTATATCATAATTATAAAATTTGATATATGTGCTATATTTAACCTACTACCTTTTTTTTCGGGATCCGATTTACCGAAATAAGATCATTTGGATCCTAATTTACAAATCCCGTAACTTTTATAATATTAATTATAAATTTCAGTATCTGAATCAAAATTTCCAACATAATAATGGATATTGTCAATATTTCTTTAAATTTTAAGAGTATGTAAAATATAAAAGTGCTTTTTTATTAAGTGTGTTATGAAATATACTTATTTTTAATTAGAATTACGAAAACTGCATTCAATAATGATATGTATTTACATAGAAATCCACGCCCTAGCAATTATAGAGTTACCTAACGTAACTGATAAAAACTTACGCTCTACTATACTCGGAAAAATCGGAATTGAATGAATGGCACAGACCGAATTCGGTGCGCTGCAACTCAAATACATCACAGCAGTTTACTTTTTTGAAATTCCACCAACAGTCACCATGGGAAAAAATTTCTTCGCACGGTCTCATCACCTGTTATTATATAACACATTTTATTTGAACAGTATCTAAATATTTTAAAGTCGAGTGTTATGCTGAGTATATGCTCCCCTCACGATTTCACTGCCAACTGTAATTTTCAGCTCATATGCTTATTGTAACACTATTATAGATTGTATATATTCAAATAAATATTAAAAAAAAAAAAAAAAAAAAAAAAAAAAATATTTTAAAAGAGCACTATACCAATTATCTGAAACGATTACGCGTACATGCGAATACACTGTAATCGTCTTTAGAACTTAACCCGCTCATAAATATACATTTTATAAATACTAATTAAATAATCATAAAATATTATATATTTTTTCACCAACGATCCAGAGAGTTAATGATGTTAATTAAAATTTCTTAATAAACATTTTTAAATTAGTTATATTTTATTAGTTCTATAGTTATTAATATTATATTTTTTTTTCTCGCGGGTCGCTAAAAATGTTTACTTTGCTTTTAATTACCTGTGTATTTCCCAGGCCCATTTGTTTTAAATATTTTTTGCCACCCACTTATTTTTCGAGAGTTTACGAAAAAATTTTACCTTGGCCATTTGAAGTTTTTGTTTGACTTATACAATATTTTAATTACTTATATACACTAGAAGGACGAACCTTCTCGAGAAGTTCGGTGAGGTTTAGTTGGGAAAGTTTAGGTAGTTCCGTTATGTTCCTCAGTTCATCAAAATCGTCAAAATCGCCATATGATAAAACCGAGAACGTTTTCAACAATTTTCTCACAGCAGGTAATAGATTCGGATCGATTCCCGGCACGTCTCTGTATGTAATTATAATAATTATAGATTTTATTCAGTCATATTATAAAAAATAGCTTAACAGCAAAAATAAATATAATCGTTATTATCATTATAATTGTTATTAATATTAATAGACAGACAGAGTGTTCCATAATGAATGTTTTGGTTTCAAATAATCAGGATTGTGTAGGTTTTTTGTAGTAAAATTTTTCAGTGATTCTCAATTTTTCCACCTCTAAAAATAACTCGTAAAAATCTGAGAAAAAGTATCGATAAGGCTTTTGATTAAGTTAGACCTGATTTGTTAGCCAGAGTTTGATAATCGTTGCAACGTTAAAATCATTGGTGTGGCGGTGTAGAATATAATATAAAAAATGGTTAAAAAAAATAATGTAAAAAACAGTTGATAACCTACAGTTTTGATTAGTATCTACCTGCTTAAGTTATATAAATATAATACTTTATTAAATAAATCGTTTTAAAATCAGAACATTTATTATGGAATACCTATATACAATAATTAAGCGTGTTTCTAAAAGTTATTAATGAATGATTACTTTCGTGATAAATAACCATGCTATCAATAAATGTTAATAACCCAACTACAATCGCTATTATTATTTAGTCAGTTTCAATGAATATTTAAACATTGTTTTAATTATTATTGAGTGGGAAGATAGTTTTATTGGAGATGATTAAATTTGATTTTCATTAAGTATACGTCGCGTGTCGTTGCCAATTAACTCGAAAAATTAATTGCCAACTTATATTTATTTATATCAATGATTAGCAAAAAGGCGTATTAAATGAAAACTATAATTGCGTTGTCTCCGTCTTACTAACATACAACATAAAAAATTTATGTTCAGCAGTTACAACGTTATGTAGTAACCTTTAATAATAGACGAATTGGCTTTTTATCAAACTTAATAGTAAAAATACCAATTTCCTAGGATACTCATTTAATTTTTAGGTAAGATAATAATAAATAAGTGTGTTATTATAAGAATCTAATTTCACGTAACCTGCGTGATTAATGACTGCAATTATTAAAATAAGCTAAAATAATAACTAACCACATTATTACGATTACCTTCAAACTGATTTAATGATCACAGTTCTTAGGAAGAATGTAATAATTTTTATTTTTTTCCTAATATTTAACAAAAAATATACGGATAATGCGGGTTGGTATATTTGATGCAAGTTACTTTTATTTTATAAAACGCTTTTGAAAATATTTTCTAACCATAATTTTAAGTCATTAAAAAATATATTTTAAAAAATAAAATAATATTTGTGCTAATTTTTTGTAGTATTAATTGTTGCTTTAAGGTTTTTATTCTTTTGAATGACTTTTTGTATTTGTGAAAATGTATTTTGCTTTGCAATACAATAGAAATGAAATGCGTTGTTTTAAAATAGTAAATACAATAATAATCTATTTTATAGTGCAAATTTTGTAATATTCTATTACTGCGCAGTCAACTGCATGACACGTTCCCAGTCCACTCTTGAAACGTCACATATCACCACCATCGGAAACGCTATATCGGCATTACTTAAAAATGTCGTTTCAACCACCGTGTCAATTGTATTCTTTTTGTACGTCTTCCATGATTCGACGATCGCGTAAGTTGCAAACAGCATAGCGCATATTACAGTTACTGACCAAAATGCTCTGAAACACCACAACCACTGGTGTTATCAGTAAATGTGTTCAGCTGGTGCAATATGCATGGGAAAATACGGTTTAGAATGTTTAGATACATGTTGATTTCAAAGTTGTTTTCTTTAATTTTTTTTTCATGTCCTTAAAACTGAAATTATAAAATACTTAATGCATTCTCTCTCCAGAATTATAATGGTTAGTAAGTAAGTACTGATGATTAAAATTTGATTATTAATTCATACTCAACATAAATAAACCCACCTTTTGATAATAATAATCAAGGCAAAAGTTGATCGACATTTAATTTAGAATACCACAAATATATGAAAAAAAAAATATTTATCTTGCTTGTTTATTCCAAAATGTAAATAATTTACACTTTTTTCAAATATTTTCCGATTCATAGTCTTTTGGCACAAAGCTTGAATAATGGGCATAGTATATCTGAATTTTTACAATTCATGACGATTCATGATTATTGGTTAATAAAGTTAAAATTATTCAAATAATATTTTAATACTTCAAATTATAAAAATACAATTTACAGTATGAAATAGAAATAACAAATTCCTATATTCAAGTGACGAAGTAACTGTAATAATATACGCTTAAGGAGTTGCAATACCAACTTTTCTCCGACGCTCCGGTCCTTTCCGACGATATGATTAAGACCGTGCAGCGAACATTGATCGCAAACGTCGTCTAAAATTTTTTTCCATACGTTTGCCCGGTATTCGGCCTTAGATTTGTCGTCCCGAGACGCTTTGTTTCGAAATCGAATGTGTGCTACTCTCCTGGACACGGGTGACAATACTTTTCCGGAATTTGACATCGCCATACAGATATCACTACAAGTCGACGGTCAGAACAGAAATGATAATAGACCCTAAAAACCAATTTAATTATATTCATTCACATGTTTTTATTCAATTACTAAAATATTTTTTAAAAATAAAATAAAATAATTTTTACATAACAATATGATATTTTAAAATCCGAGTATAAATCAAATGACTCTTTAGAATTATATTTAATTGTACCAATGTATAAAAAATAATTTGACATTTAAAATAAAATAATAATAACAAAACAAAAAATAATTTAAAAACAATAATATTACCTGGAAATTCCATGAAAAGTTTTATTTTTTTTTTTTTTTTAGTTAGATAATCAAAGAAAATTGTATAGATATCTATTAATTTATTTTTTTTAACACCGATATTTAATAAAATATAATCGATTATTACACACCTACAAAATTATAAAATGCACCAAATGAATAGAAACGCTTTAGGATTTTAAAAATATAACCTTATGTAGAGACGTAAGATTGTTAGGTCGTGAAATACATTTTAGTATAATATCCCGAAGTCCCAACACTGGTTGGCTTCTTGATCACGACTACTGTCTCGTTAAATACTTATTTGTAAATATTGTTAACTTTTATTATAACTTGTACTTATTGTAAAAATATTTCATAGGTTGTACAACAATAAAATAAATGATAAAAAAAAAAGTATAACATAATATAGAATAGCTATTTTTGTTCGAACATTCGATAAAAAAAGATGTGAACGTGTACCCAATCATTGATCGTGGGCGCAAAGACTGCCGTCGTAACCATTTCCAAAACACTTTTCACACTATTTCACGTCCACAGAAGTAACTCACAAAATTCATAATGCAATAGTACGACCAAGTTTTTTTTTATGCTTACAATTCCATACAATAATATTGTTGTAATCCCGCCCATCTTGCTACATATAATTCCTTAATGTTATAAAATAATAATAATAGTTTTATTTACAATATAATGTAAGCGTTGACATCGGCATATAATTATTGTATACAATATATAAAAATAATATATTATTTATAATGACTGTTCGAATATCGTAAATACACCATTACATCATATTATTTCACCCATAAAAATTTATAAACTATAATAACAATAGAATTATTCCATACACTTTCCACGAAGAGATATTATTATTTAATATAATTTGATTTATCAAGTATACATATTTTTTATTCTTAAGCTTTGAATAAATAAGTTATTTTTTGCGAGTAAATAATATATTAACATAATTTGTTTATTTATTTTTTTTATCTGTTAATACACATACCATATATATATATATTTTTTTTTTGTTCAAACATATTTTAAAAATTAACGTGCCCTTTATTAGAATGGAAATATAATATGCGTGACGTGTTAAAATTAATTGTAATACAAATAAAAATAATAAAGATTCAACAATTTTTTTTAAATATTTACCTATTTACCGTGACTTCGTTTGCACATCAATAGTTTGGTTATGATGATTAATAATTAGTAAAAGAAACTAAGAATTAACGATTTAACAGAACTTTTGTAAAATTAAAAATTAAATAACTTTGCTTACTTATAAAATAATAAAAATATTTATAACCTAGAAAAATTATCGCTAAAAATACGAATTTTGGCATTCTTTCACTTTTCATCTTTCTTTATTTCTAAAAACACCGAAATACGTGATCTATTTATTTTGTTGAAGAAACTTAGTATCAAATATCGAATAAATTTAACTATTTAAAAATCGATATTATTTTTTAAACGATGCTTATAATATAAAATCATTACCTTCGATAAATCCAAAATTTTTATCCACAAAGTTAACTTTCAATTTTATTTAAGTGTTTATTAAATTTCTCTACCTTAAAAATGGATTTAATAAAATAAAAAGTAATATATGTCCTTTCTTAGAGTTAAATAATCTTTATACCATATTTCATCAAAATCTGGGCATTGGTTCATTCATGGAATAAATTAATTTCCTAGTTTTTCTTAGAAGATATTTAAAAAATGTTAGTTGGTGCCCATTAAACGGCCATTTTACATTTTAATAATTTCTATTTGTCTTATTTTCTCAAAAATGTTATATATCTTACATCATTATTTTTTTTAACTACCTGTAATTTTATTAGTTTTTTTGTCGAACAGCATAAAACATACGCATTTTATTTTCACGCTTTAACTGATATAATGTCAAACCATCTTAATAGCGTTATTTTAATGCAAATTGTATTTGTAATCTTTCAAGTTCAAAACTTATGATAAAACACTTACAAGATTAAGATTCTAACAAACAATATGATGTTTTCTCTTACTCGCATGCTGCTGTATATTAGAATAAAATAGCGTTTTAACTTATTTCGTTTGTGAATGTAATTTTTCACACTAGTATCATACTGTAAAGATTATAGAAGTTATATATATTATTATATTTTTAAGACATCAGACAACTAAAATACTCAAGCTCCCTCCAAAAACTTATGCACGTAAATGAGGTTCAAATAAGAATTTAGCTTTAGCTGAATACCTACAATTGTATGGTTCATCCCCGTTTATCATTTCTTTTGTACGTATATGATTTCACTTTTTTTTCTTACGATAAATCTGCAATCAGTGGTGTAACTATAGCTGTAAATTTGATAATTTTTTTAAAAATTCTAAAAATTATTTGTACTAAAATTTCAAACGTTATATCCAAACACATATTATGCGTATGTATTACATATATGTATCGTACACTTAATCTACATTTTACTCATAAACCCAAAAAATGTTTTGAAATTCAAAAATCCCCGAACACAAACCTTGGTTATGCCATTCTTTGTCAAATCATTGTTTCTGATTTACGATGATTGATCATTTAATTTTAATCTACAATTACCTAATTACCTATTTGACTTTTTTTTTTAATCATTTAGACTTAACGACACAATATTAATCTCAGTAGACAAATATCAAGGAAATATTTTATTCTTAAATTCATGAAATATCTATTATATAATGTTCTCGAAATTGATCAGCAAAGCCTAAATCTTCGTAAGCTATCTTTACGTCTACGCCAATACTTTTATATTGTAAATATATTGTAAGTTAAGTTTAAATCTTTTGTCTTTTTTATTTTTTACTCTGTTTAGGCACACTATTCGTCGATATTTTCTTTGTTTTTTTATAGCTATAATACTTCGAAAAGACACTTTATATTTTTCATACTGAAAACCATTATGTTGGTTTAATGTTATTTCAGGCAAGTGATATAATTTTTAGTGAATCACCATAAAAATATAAAAACTTTTTCTGTGCGGTGATTAGGTTGTCTATGTAGACAGGTAGACAGGTGAAATAATATACTTCGTGATCGATTAATACATAAAATATAATAATGTCATATTTTTTAAATAATTTAATAGGTACACAACATGCTATTATTGACGTGGTTTGTTTTTTAAATCATTATATACAAAATAAATATAATAATACTACTAATAGATTAATATTATAAAGTGTAAATGTAGATAATTATAGGTTTATACTATTAGGATAATTTATTTTTTTACATGGAAGATATTATGGTATTGACGTTTTACGGTTTATGTGATCATCCATTATCCAAGTGTCCGCTATGTTTCGATGTCTTTTCCTTTTTTTATTACTTTTGGATTTAACTGGTTTCGGTGACGTTCTGCGCCAATGATAGTAAACTCGCCACGTCAAGAAATATACAAGTTCAATGAAACTCAACAGTGAACCACCTAAGAACAGACCGGCGCAACCACCAAATGACACTGCGAATGAATAACAAACATGTTTTAAAAAATAAATATATTTCACAAGTGATACCCAGTGCAGTGTTTATGCCAGGTTTCATGAGTGTTCATTAAATTAAAAAATGTATTGAATAAGTAGCATTATAAATGAATAAAAAGTTTTTCTTCCACTAAATTTTCATTAAACACTAAACAATACCGTTGATTCATCAAGTTATAAGCTACCGGTTAATTAAATTAATGGTCCGATTTCGGCTCATTAAATTTTAGTCATTCATCAAGCTCGTTATCACATCACCACTTTGTGTTTTTACCTATATTCAAATTAGAACACTGAAGAGTTGTTATAATTTTGTTGGTGATAAGTTTTAAATTTCAGCATAAATCTTGGTATCATATTGAAAGCTAATACATTTATATTCAACTATTTGTGCTTAATTAAAATATTTAATAGTTTAATAAAATCGTTTATTAAATACATTTAAGGGATGGTTTTTTACAATTAGTGTTATATAAAAGACTCAAGTAAAATGATTTAAATACTTTTTAAATAGGTACTCAAATTAAATGTTTTATATTTTAAATCAATCATGCATGAAAATAAAAATAATATGGTGTAAGTCGATCTATAATATGAATTTAAAACTTTAAAACACTAAAAAAATTGATTCAATTAGTTTATAAAGACAAAAAATATAAAACACTATGTGTTATAAATAGCTTTATAGCTTCTAAAAGCTGTTAAGTCTTTTGAAAATATATTTTTTACAATATAATCATATAAGTAATAAGTAGGACTGTAAATTTGATAAACATATGGATTTTATTCCACATTGTACAAAAACATTTCTATGTTAATAAAATATCTGTATATTAAATACTAATTTTGATTTGTACCAATATAAATTTTAGCTTTTTAGTATTATTTTGTTAATTGAGTGAAATAAAACCAAATAAATATAAACATTGTTATTTTATAAACTCATTTTCATAATGATTTTATACTACATAATTATTATTCCGTCTTCTCTGCTAGTAATCTACTTTATAAACTCGATAAATTAAATTCTTCGTATATTCTATAAAAACATAATATGAAAAACAAGCCTTTTCAATTTTCATAGTTATACGTTTTTATAATAAAATAATATTTATAATAATAAAACTATTAATGTAAAATGTTTAACGAGCACCTACATATTTTGGGTTTTCAATAAATTCATTTTAAATACAATTTTAGTATGATCAATTTACGATATATATCATAACAAGAAATAAAGTACCATTTAAAAAATGACAAATGAGAAGGTACTTACCTAACAAATCAAGCCATCCAAGGATCAAGTCCGATCTATAAAGTATGCATGCGCTCTGTTTGAAGTGTAAATCAATGAGTATGGACAATGAGGAGTTCCTGCAATGGTGACGACACGATCAACAATAATTATTTTACATATTTTAACAAATATAAATCGACTTACTCCATCGTCGAGACAGTGTGTTCGGCGATGGTAAGCTCGGGTACATACATTTGGTGTATGCAATCCGGCATGCATTCGCATTTTAATCCGGGCTTATCTTTTATGAAAAACGTCGGCTGTTCGAAAGGTATATAATTGTTGAAATATTCTGAAACATAAAGATATTAGGTATTATATTATACATAAGTTATAGTAATATTATGTTGAAAATGGTTTCATTCAGTTCTGTGGCAAAAACTTACGGTTTTTCTTGGCTAAACATAATAAATCAACTGCGTTACACGGCCGTGATGAATCGTTTCCTTAAGAAAAAAAATATATTTTTAAATTAATTAATTTACTATGTTGTCATCGACCATTTATTCATTTATTCATTTAAAAAATTACAAATAAAGCCCAATGACATATATTACATATATAATACATTTTAATTGAAAGATGACAATAACACAAGGTGGTTATGGTAATATAGGTTGTTCATTAGCCACGAATATCATATTATGATGAAATGTATTGCGACCGTAGTTTGTGAAACGATTCGGCAATGAGAAAGATGTATAGATACGGAGAGAAACTATACTATATTAGTATGTAATTTAAATGATGTTGACAAAAATATTGCCTTAGACAATATCGATCTATGTCCGTAGTGCGCATTTTATACAGATGAGGCATTAATCCTTATTCTTAAAAAAATATCACAGTTTAGTCATGACAAAATTATTTAAAAAATAGATATAAATATTTTCTATTTTTCTATACACTATGCATTTAGAAAACTTGCTCATTTAAAATGGGAATACTTTTTTAAAAAAACTTCGAAATGATTTATAGTATTGAGCACGTTATTTGGTACTAATTTAGATAAATAGTGGAAGTTAACTTAAAACTGTAAAAAAAAATAATTAATGGTCTAGTAAAACGGTTCAAGTCGTATCTTAGCTTATTACTTTTAAGTAAGCAGTTTGTTATTTGTAAATTTTAAGTTTACTCAATCCAAAAAAAGGTACAAAATTCTTAATCACCCGGTTCTGGATGAATAGGTGGTGTTTGGTTTTGTTCGATAAATATATCAACTACATAAAATAATTTATTGAAAGTCTTACGTTTCATGAGGCCAAACATTGCCTCTATATAACAGCCACAATGATTAACCATGTGAAACATGTAACACGCCGTTCTGCAATTCCTTCTCAGGTAATAATTTGTGCCCATCCCGGTTGGGCTTTCATCGCCAAAAAAACAGTTTCTCTGCTTTGGTTTTAGTTTCTTGGTTCTATGCGTGTTGTATATCCGATCACCCCACACGTTAATATTTCCAAAGTTCCCAGCCATTACGACTATATCCGATCCAAGCGGAGCACCTCTAGGTTCGCCCATTAACACCTGTTAAAATGAGATAACGATTGTAAGAGTTTTACCGTGGATAAAACAAAATACAATACATATTTTTAGTGCTTATTCACTCTATACAAACACAAAACGACCTATGAAACAAATTAAAAAGATATTAAAATATTTTTTAATGTGTAATCTACGAGAAATTTAGTTTACGTAGTTTGTAATTTATAGAAAAAATACTATTATACACATATATTTATAGGTTAATACCCACTGTTTTTAATGTATTTTAGATACATATATGCTCAATTTTTCATTTTGTTATACTAACCCTTGGCTAATAATTGTAAAATATTAATTTAATGACTTAAACTCTCTCTTTTTATCTCTATGAAGATTTATTTCAATGTTTTGATTCCAAATTTTGAATCATTTTAACTTAATCTAATTTATTAATTCTTATAAATTGAAATTATCATTAATTATATAGATCTATAGATTTCAATAAATTACACGTATGAGTGTAGTGCAAAAAATAGTGTGAAAGGTTTTAAAGGAAAATATTTAAAAAAATGATATATAGCTTGACTATACCAAATATGTATATATAATATTTTATTCGTAACAATTTGAAGCTATAATTAATTAATTAGCAAAAACATGAAGATTTAAAGGAGATTTGGACCTTATATAACTCTATCAAATTCTTCCAAATGACGTACATATCAAGTTAGTACCTATTAAGTAAATATTACTTTTTAATTTAAATATGATTGAAAAAACAAATTATTTTAAAATTTTGTTTTTATGATACAGTGATATTTTGAAAAGTGATTTAAGCTTAGGCGATAATATAAACTGTGATTTTTCCGTAAAAAAATCAATGAGAGAATATATAGTTTGGCTAGACCATTCAATATTTTACAACACATATGTGTATTTTCCAGCTGTATATTTTACTTCGTTTAAATATAAAATAGATATTGATTGTATAAATTATGTAATTGATATAGATAATAATAATATGTAATTGTATGACCCGTTTTTTTAATTAAATTATGGGGAATTTCAGTTTTTCGAAAAATATTGGACTACTTACTATTGTCTTTGAATTATATTATAATACTTAACAAAATTACAAGAAATTTTCCTTAGTTTACAGAAATGTTCGTAAATATCACAATTTATAAATCTTTAAGTACCTATATTTATAAAAATTTAAAAATAATTAAAATATGCTCACCCGGATTGATGGTTTGGTGCTTACATCAGGAGGTATTTGTTCAGGTGTTATTGGCGATATATGCACTCTGTGTAATTAACAAATTTTCATCACATTTAACATCGAATTAATTATATGGTAGTAAAATAAAATAAACAAAACACAAAATATTATATATCATTGTTTGTCTCATTAAAGTCATTAAACTAACCTCACCTATATTTAATATTGCTTTCGCTGTTTAATTTCAAATTAATACTATAATAATATAATCATGTATAGGAACTAGTCCTTCAACAGAAATTAAATTCATATTTAAGGTAGATGCTTAATATTTTTAAATAAAGTAAGTTTATATTTAAATAACCAAACATACTCAATAAAATTTGTTCATCTCTATAAATTTATGAAAATGTTACCATTTTTATAATACGATTGCGAACGATTGTTGCAGATCAAAGAAAAAATATTGTATACTTAATGTTAAACAATTTTAGATGATTTTTTGAATGATATTGTCAATTTTAGTTTTTCATATTATCGTGTATTTAATAGCCATACAGATAAAAAAAAAATATTATATCGTTAATGTGACTCTGAAGTAACTTAAAGGTAATTAATAACAATAGTAAATAGTTATAAATAAAAATAATATCTTTAAAGTCATAATTTATTTTCCGTCAAGCCGTCGTCGTTGAGATGATTGGTGAACAGAGTACTAATAGTATTTATCAGGAAGATCTTAAAATTAACAATTCTGAATGCGGAAAATAATTGATATTGGTTAAAAGATTATTAATATTAATTTATAAGATAACACAGAAATAGATAAATAAAAGTTAGTTAATAAATATAAATTTCTGTTCTAGTATTTTAACATCGTTTGATAAATAATTGTAATCATTAAATAGTGAGCAGAAGAGTAGTAAAAAATAAAAATTCAAACCATTAATTAAAGGAAAATTTTAAGCAGAAATTTGAAGAAAATACGACTGCAAAACCTTTAAAAATTATTCAACTACTACGTTTTATTTAATAATTAATATGTATTCAACTCAGATATTTTAAACCGAATCTGCAGTTAATCACTGAGAATTCTAAGTGTTTATAATATTGGAAAAGTATATTCTTGAGTTTTATATCCACTTAAACGATATGTTAAAATAATCGTTTACATAGAAAAAGTAGGTCACGTACGCAAATTAAAATGTTCTATCCATTAAAATGATATCGTTTATTTTCAAATTCGCATAAATGAAACGTTTCTCGTTAATAACCCTTTTACCTGATGCCAGACCATTGACCCTTATCGCTCGTCTTCCTAGGTCGTAACTCACCGGACTCGGTTTGCCAATACGTCCCGATAAGACCAGAGTTAGCGCCGATTCTTCTACAGGGAACAATGTGTTAATTGCAAATTATATTATTATAATATTGTTATTATACGAACAGATATACTTAGTACTTACGCTCTGCTATACTCAGAAAAATCGGAATTAAACGAATGGCATAGACCAAATTCGGTGCGCTGTAACTCGAATACCTCACAACAGTTTACCTGTTTGAAGTTCCACCAGCAACCTCTGGGGAGAAATACTTCGTCGCACGGTCTCATTACCTGTATAATACATCGTTTAATAAATTAAACAACATCTATTCAATAAATAATATCATATAATTGCTCTGATGAAAATAATAATAATAATAATATATCAAAAAAAATATTACATAATAAAATTTATTATTTAATAATACTTGGTATAATTTATAATGGTAGATTATTTTAAAATCCGATAGTTGCAGTATAAGAGATGAGTGATTCCAAATCAAAAATAGTAAACAAAGTTAGTTGAGGTATTGTACTAAGTTAATAATATAAAATGAAGTTAATAATATGATAGATCGACTTATGTAATATTGTTATTATAGTAAGAACATATATTAAAAAAAAATATTTTGATATTATTCTTATACATATAATAAATATTTTTGAAATTACATTGTGACAGCTCAATGAATAAATAGTAATTTTATAGTTTTGAAATATTGATGTACCTATATTTCCTCAAATTGAGTATATTTAGTTCGGTTTTTGTGTTTATTGCTAATTAATAATTTTCTTACTAATTTTTAACTATAATTAAACTATCTTTTGTAATTTTGTAAACATTATTTAGACTTTGCGTTTTCAATGAAATAAAATTATATCATCTATAAATCATTTTTTTGTATTTATTTTTAATTGTTTAAATCATTTTAGTAACTTAACTATCTACTTATATACATTTTTTAATAAAACGTGGTCTGCGTCTAAAATTAGAAGGTGTAGATAAATTGAATAACAATACTAAAAAACAATGTTTGAATGATATGGCTTATGGTAATAATGAAACTTTCTATTG